GTTTGTTTACCAAGGTACACTGGTGACCTAGTGTAACAACACGTTTCAGTTTGTTCACCAAGGTACACTGGTGACCTGATGTAACAGCATGTTTTAGTTTGTTCACCAAGGTACCTTGGTAACTTGGTGTAACAGCAAGTTTTAGTTTGTCCACCATGGTACACTGGTGACCTGATGTAACAGCAAGTTTTAGTTTGTTTACCAAGGTACACTGGTAACTTGATGTAACAACATGTTTTAGTTTGTTCACCAAGGTACACTGGTAACTTAAACAAACTAAAACTTGCTGTTACATCAGGTTACCAAGGTACCTTGGTAAACAAACTAAAACATGTTGTTACATCAGGTTACCAGTGTACCTTGGTGAACAAACTAAAACTTTCTGTTACATCAGGTCACCAGTGTACATTAGTGAACAAACTAAAACTTGCTGTTACATCAGGTTACCAGTGTACCTTGGTGGACAAACTATAACTTGCTGTTACATCAGGTTACCAGTGTACCTTAGTGAACAAACTACCAAGGTACACTGGTGACCTGATGTAACAGCAAGTTTTAGTTTGTTTACCAAGGTACTTTGGTAACCTGATGTAACAACACGTTTTAGTTTGTTTACCAAGGTACACTGGTAATCTGATGTAACAGCAAGTTTTAGTTTGTTTACCAAGGTACACTGGTGACCTGGTGTAACAACACGTTTTAGTTTGTTTACCAAGGTACACTGGTAACCTGATGTAACAACACGTTTTAGTTTCTTCACCAAGGTACACTGGTGACCTGGTGTAACAACACGTTTTAGTTTGTTCACCAAGGTACATTGGTGACCTGATGTAACAACACAAGTGTACCTTGGTAAATAAACTAAAACATGTTGTTACATCAGGTCACCAGTGTACCTTGGTGAACAAACTAAAACATGTTGTTACATCAGGTCACCAGTGTACCTTGGTGAACAAACTAAAATGTGTTGTTACACTAGGTCACCAGTGTACCTTGGTAAACAAACTAAAACGGTGACCTGATGTAACAACACATTTTAGTTTGTTCACCAAGGTACATTGGTGACCTGATGTAACAGCAAGTTTTAGTTTGTTCACCAAGGTACACTGGTAACCTGATGTAACAGCAAGTTTTAGTTTGTTTACCAAGGTACAGTGGTGACCTGATGTAACAGCAAGTTTTAGTTTGTTTACCAACATACACTGGTAACCTGATGTTACAGCAA